GAGAGCTATCCTGGAGTGTAAAATGTGATGGTATTGGTGGAGCATCCAGCACACTGTCTGGCACTTGGCCACGTTTCAGTATGTTAGATATAGTTGTTTTTACTGTCTCTAAGCAATATCAAAAAGAATCAGGCAGGGCGTTAGGTTCGTAGGCTAAGGGGCACTGCCGGGAGCTCCCGCCACCTCTTACTGATTCCATACCGAGAGTTCTCTGTTCCTTACTCTGTTCTGGAGACAGTCTTGTCCGGAGTCCTCTGGCTGAGCTGCTCTGTCTAGGGCACTCTCTTGCTTATTAGATTATTAGGCACAAAAGGCATTTTTCAGAAAGGATACAGATAATTTAGAGATGGTCAGTGTGTTCATATTAGACTTACAGTTGGTAACAGTGCTGCTAAGACCTTGACAAACTCAGGTAATGTAACAGTTGATGTATTTTAGTTAAAACAGGAAGGTATAAAGTAGACTATTATGCATGGTCATGAATTTCGCCTGCCATATTTTTAACTGTTGAAATCACACAGTTTTAGTTTTCTGTCTTTTTTCAAACAACATTATATGTACTGTTATTAAAGTTTCTTAATGTTTCTAAATATTAAAGTACATAATGGAAATATAGGGACCTGCTGTAACTTGTTCATTCTGCTGTCAGAGAACACTTAACTGGTTTCTGGTTTTCTCTGTGGTGAATAGTACTATGAAGAACAGTCCTTGTACTGTGTATACTTGGTGTTATATTTTAAATTCCCACTTAGTAGCCTCTTTAAGTTATTTGGTTTTCATATGTCAGTGCTTTAGAAATTTGGGGGGACAGGACCAGCAGTTGGCATAATGGCTATGTCCCTGGACTCCCATGTAGTTGACCGCAGTTCAAGTCCCAGACCCGGTGGCTTAGGTGTGCGTATGTGCCCAGGATTCCAAGAGGAGAATGGGGGAGAAGGGATTGGGGCATGGCCATCCCCCCAGGGGGTGATTTCTTGCTTTTGGTCTCTCTCTGTCTCTCTCTGGTGAGTGTGTGCACCCTTATAGAAAAAAAAAAAGAAAAAAATTTTTGGGGAAAAAAATTTCTGAAATATTATTATATTTTGAGACCTTTTGACTATAGGGCATGTGCGCTTGCTAGAGAGACAGAAAGTAACAGGACAGGGGGGTTGGCCATGCTGCAATCCCACCTCCTCCATTTGACTCTCGGGATTTTGGGAATGCACACATATGCACCCAGTGTGAGTTTTTTAAGCCTCTGGGTCTGGGACTCGAACCTCTGTCGACCTGCAACATAACCATTACACCATCCGCTGGTCCTGAAATAGTCTCTTAAGTAAGGAGACTGAACATCTGGAGGCTTAGGCTACAAGCTCACCTTTGATACTAAAATGAGCAAGAAATAAACTCAAAATATAAGAAATCTTTTGTTCGTTTTTAGTTATTGCAGAAGCAACATATGTAGTAGACTGAATTATCAGTTTGCATAGGAGAAAAGGAGTTTTCTTTTTATCATTTTCATAGTCTAAAAAAGGCCAGATTTTCTCCAGGAAGCCAGCGTAAATGTCAGATAGAAGATCGAAGACATGGCTGTATGGCTGTCCTCCTGCCTCAGCGGCCTGAGTAGCTGAGACTGCGGACGAGTTTCCCCATTCCCCGTTTTACAGTGGGCTGCAAGGTGACCCTTGGACTCCACTCGTGTGGCCTCAGCGTAGAGCAGTGTGCATATTTTTGTATTGAATCAAGTAAAGTTCTATGTCGTGTTTTTTTTTTTTTTTTTGAGAGATTTTCACTGTAGGGTGCGTGCGCTCGCCAGACAGACAGAGAGAGACATAGAGACAGAAAGCGAGAAATCACCCCCCAGGGGGAATGGTCACGCCGCAATCCCTTCTCCTGCATTCTCCTCTCGGGATCTTGGGCACGCATGCACACGCGCCCGGCGTGAGTTTTAAGCCCCCGGGTCCGGGACACGAACCGCAGTCGACTACGTGGGAGTCCAGCGACATAGCCATTACGCTAACTGCTGGTTCCCTATGTCGTTTTTAAAATGTAAAATACTAATGGTGGTAGAGGGGCCAGCAGATGCCATAATGGTTATGTCGCTGGACTTTGATATGGCTGACTCCGGTTCAAGTCCTGAACCTGTGGCTTGAAACTCATGCTGAGCGCTTGTGTATGTGAGCCCAAAATCCCTACAGGAGAATGGAGAAGGGATTGAGGTGTGGCCATCACCCTGGGGCGTGATTTCTGGCTTTGTCTCTGTTTCTGGTGAGCTCATGTGCCCTATAGTGAAAATCTCTCTCTAAAAAGAAAAGAAAAAAGAAAAAAACCAAGGTCATGATCAGCAGGTGGTGTAGTAGTTAAGGCTCCGGACTCCCACATGGCTAATCATGGTTCAAGTCTTGGACCTGGCAGCTGGAAACTCACGTTGGGTGTGAGAGCCCAAAATTCCAAGAGGAGAATGGAGGAGAAGGGATTGTGGCATGGCCATCCCCCGGGGGGTGATTTCTCACTCTTTTTTCTGTCTCTTTGTGTCTCTGATGAGGGCACACGCTCTATAGCAAAAATCTCTTTTAAAAAAAGGACTCAAAAAATCTAGCACCAAGTCATGGAAGCAAATCATCTTCTGAGGAAGGATTTTTATGACTTATTTCCCTTAAGAGACAGGAGAGAGGGTCAAGACAGGGAAAGGGAGACAGAGATGGGTATTTTCGACAGGGTCCGCCATGTCAGAATTCTCACGCCTCAGCTTCTCAGCTAGGGTTATAGGCGTGCACACCACTGGTGTGTGAGAAGGATGTAGACTGGGGTCATCTGTCTTTAAACATGGTGTTAGGTGCTCCAGGGAGACAAAGGCATGTAAGAGGGGATTTGTTGGGGGAATCAGTGCATGCGATTATAGCGGTGGGAAGTCCTGCAAAGGCCGTCTGCAAACTGGAGATCCTGGGACGCTGGGACGTGACTCCGTCCAAAATCAAGGGTCTTGCTGGCAGTGAAGCCAGGATACAACACTCCCAGCCCGAGCTCAAGGCCTGAGAACTGAGGGGACCACCCCAGTGATCCTGGAGTCGGAAGACAGGCCAGCCTTGAGTCCTGATGGCCACGGCGGCAGGAGAAACCTGTTGTCCTCGTTGGCTAGGGACCCATATATTGGCTCTCTCTTGGATAAGTTCCAAGCCTGAAACTTGAGTGAATACTTATGTTGCCTTTTGTCCCGCATGCTTTTCAAATTATCTTCAACATTCATGGTAACTTACGTTGCTGATGAATTTTGTGAGCTGTTAAGAAAAGTTTTGTCGGGACCAGCAGGTGGTTTCGTGGTTAAGGCACTGAGTTCCCATGTGTCCGACTGCCGTTCGAGTTCTGGACCCAGAGGCTTCAAACTCAAGTGTGGGCGTGTGAGTGTGCACACTCAGGGTCCCGGGAGGAGGATGGAGGAGAGGGAATTGTGTGTGGCCATCCCCTTGGGGGGTGATTTCTCACTCTGCTTCTTACTGTCTGTCTCTGTCTCCATGGAGTGCATGTGTTGTATAGCAAAACCCTTAAAAAAAAAAAAAAGGAAGAAAAGTGTTAAATTTCAGAAGGCATATATCTGTACATGCACATATATGAATTAACATTCTTGGAAGATCATATTAAGGTAGTTAGGAAAGTTTCAACTCCTAAATGCTTAACCTTTTGCTCTTGGAAAAACTTGACTCTGTCATGTTACACGTTTTTATTATTTCATGTAGAGTTTTAGAATTTATACGAGTTACATCTAGACAGGGTTTTCCGGTTCTTTTAGAAAGGGGACTACCAGCACTTAAAAAGTAAAAGAGAAGAGGAGAGGTGACATTACCACTCTACCCCTTCAATGCAGTTGTGGGATACATGTATTTCCTTCTGTGTGTCAGCCCTGGGTAGCTCACAGGCAGCCCAGATGCGGCAGCTGGAAGTACTCTGTAATTAGTCTTCTATTCTTCCCTCAATTAAAATCCCCATGTACCGAGGCATCTCACCGCATGTTGATCTAATTATCTGATTAATAAAAAGTCAGTGACAGTGTGAATGACTGATTAGTATAATTCATTTATTGATGTGAAATGACAGAGGAATACATCTCCAGCTAGTGGAAGAGTGGCAAGGGGGTAATTTTGAGTAGGAAGCCCTCTTTTTTTGGGGGGAGAGGGTTTTGCTATAGGGCGCGTGCGCTCGCCAGACAGACAGAGAGAGAGACAGAGAGACAGATAACGAGAAATCACCCCCCAGGGGTGAAGGCCACGCCACAATCCCTTCTCCTCCATTCTCCTCTCGGGATCTTGGGCAAGCACACACACGCGCCCATGAGTTTAAGCCACCGGGTCCGGGACTCAAGCCGTGGTCGACTACGTGGGAGTCCAGCGACATAGCCATTACGCTAACTGCTGGTCCCCCTAGTACTCTATTCTTTTTTTTTTTTTTTGAGAAGTTTTTGCTATAGGGCGCGTGCGCTCGCCAGACAGACAGAGAGAGAGACAGAGAGACAGATAACGAGAAATCACCCCCCAGGGGTGAAGGCCACGCCACAATCCCTTCTCCTCCATTCTCCTCTCGGGATCTTGGGCAAGCACACACACGCGCCCATGAGTTTAAGCCACCGGGTCCGGGACTCAAGCCGTGGTCGACTACGTGGGAGTCCAGCGACATAGCCATTACGCTAACTGCTGGTCCCCCTAGTACTCTATTCTGAAAACAAAATTAGGTTAACTTTTTATTTTTAGTATGTAGCCAACTTAGAAAATGAAGAGTATCTGTTATGTGCCAGACACCTTTCAGAATAGCTGAGCAGTGTGACTCCCTGGTCTGATTTTATATTTTTTAAGTTTCCATGTAAATACATTTACAAATTACAGAAAATTGGAATGCTGTCCTTATTTTTTTCCTACAAACTGTAGTCTGTATACCCAGGGGTCAGTGGAACACTTCGGTGGAGGAGGTAGCATGGCAGTTGTGATCTAAGAGTTGGTTTGAAATTAAATTTACTTTTTTTTTCCTTTTAGAATGGCAGAATTCACTGACATTCGGAAGCTTTTCAAACGTTCCTTACAGTCGCCCCTGCGCTTGTGCACTGAGTCAAGTAAAGTTGTACTCCACAAATGTTCAGAAAGAAGGACAGGGGTCACAGACTCTGGGAGTGGAGAAAGTACCATCATTTGATGAAGCAGGTATGTATAAATTTTTAAAAATAATTGGAATAGTTTGTGTAACTTGTTTCTTGAATGTTTTATAAAGCTTGTAAAACCATCTATGCTTGTGTTTTCTTTGTGGGAGCCATTGAACTGTTGATTATTTCTTTATTTTTGAGAGTTTTTTTTTGCTATGGAGTGTGTACACTTGCTGGAGAGACAGAGAGACAAAGAGACACAGAAAGGAAGGCATCACCCCCTGCGGGGATGTCCACACCAAGATCCCTTTTCCTCCATTCTCCTCTTGGGACTTTGGGCATCTATGTACACACGGCTGGTGTGTTTCCAGCCTTGGGTCCAAGACCCAAATCACGATCGACTATCAGCGATGTACCCGTTATTCCATCTGCTGGTCCCTGAACTACTGATTTTTAATTTCTTTAATTTGTCTATTTCTTTTTCACTGAGTTTTAGTAAATTCTGTTTTCTTCTGTGAGTTTATCCACTTAAACCAAATTTTTGGTATATTGGCATTAGGGGCTAGGAGGTGGCATGGTGGTTAAGGCTCTGAACTCCACATGGCCAACCGTGGTTTGAGTACCGTACCCGGTGGCTTGCTTTCCCACTTTCTCTCCTCCTCTTTCTGGTGAGCTGTAGCAAATTAAAAAATAAAAAAAGATAAATAAAATGAATATTTTACAATATTGACATCAAATTTATAATAGTCTCTTGAATTATAAACAGCATGTAGTTGTGTTCTTTTTCAAAAATTCCTGATCGTTTTTGTTTTATTTTCTTGGTTAATCTTGTTAGAACTTTGTCCTTTATTTTTCCAGGTACTGTTTTACTTTAAGTCATATTTTGTGTTTGTTTCCGAGTTCGTCAATATCTACGCCTTCCGCCCCCACCCTCCCCAATGCCGGTGAGTTGCAGTTGCCAGGGAACGATGGAGGGAGCAGAGGGAGCAAGCACCCTCTGGGATGTGGTCATGGCACGGTGCGTCCTCCCTGATTCATCCTGTCTGGATCTGGGACGTGCTTGCACACGTTCCCTTTGCGTTTCCCAAGCTTCCAGGTCCTGCACTCAAGCTGTATAGGTGGCCATGTGGGATCCAGGAATTGGGTGGCCAGACCTCTACCCTTTAGTTATACTCTCCTTCCCGCCTCCTTTGCGCTTACCCTGTCATTCTTTTATAACTGTCAGTTGCATTCTTTGCTCATCTTTTGAGCCTTCTTTGCTGAAGTGGGCATTTAAACCATGATAACATATCCTGTAAGGTTTTTTGTTTTGTTTTTTTCAAGAGGGATTTTTGCTATAGTGCGCATGCTCTTGCCAGAGAGACGAAATGAAAAATCACCCCCTGGGAGGATGGCCATGCCACAGTCTCTCCTCTTCCATTCCCCTCTTGGGATCTTGGGCACGTACGCCCATGTACCCGGCATGAGTTTCTAGTCACTGAGTCCAGGACTCGAACCGTGGTTGACTACAGGGGAATCCAGTGATGTCACCATTACGCCATCTGCTGGTCCCTGTAAGTTTTTTGATATGTAGTATTTTTAGTGTTTGTAGTTCTAAATATATTTTTATTTTAATTCCTCTTTATCCTTTGTGGGTAAAACACGATTTTAAAATTTCCATGTAGATGGAATTTTTCTCGTTTCCTTTTTGTATTTAGCTTGTCTTGTTAGTATGGTCTGCACGATTCGATCTTGAAATGTGTTGAGCCTGATTTTTTTTTCAGTTTTTGCCAGAGTGAGACAGGGAGAAGGAGAATGTACTCCTCAGTGGATGTGGTCATGCCGTAGTCTCTTCTCTTCTCCATCCTCTTGGGATGTGGGGCACACATGCACACGCGTCTGGTGTGTTTCTCAAGCTCCTGCGGCTGATTTGCACCACAGTTGGCCATGTGGGATCCAGCCCCCTTAACCTCCTCATACCGTCTGCTGGCCCCATGCCTTCTCTATTTGCCTGCCGCTTTTTGTTATTGTTGTAATTTTTTTAAAGAATTATTGATTTAATTAATTAATTATTATTATTTTTCAATTTGACCAGAGAGAGACAAAGGGAAAGTGAGAAAACAAGCCTCTAGGTCCGGGACTTGAACCGTAGTTGGTCCTGTGGGAGTTCAGTACTTGAACCACCGTGCCACCTGGTAGCCCCTGTTGTCCAAAGTTTTATTCTTTGGTGTAAGTAACAGTTTTAATAAGGGTGATGGGTATGTATTTATAGCCTCCTTAAATTGATTAAACTTCCTGGATCTGAGAGTAGTTTTTTTGTTTTTTTTCTTTTCTTATTTTAAGCAGTTCTGGAATTCTACAGTTTTCTGTCATTATTCCTTCTGATTCTATTTCTCTATTCTCTCTTCTCTCCTCCTGGCGCTTCACTTAGAAATATACTAGACTATCTTACTTTGTTTTCCTGGCCTCTCAACCTGTCTGTCATATTTTTTATTTCCTTATCTCTGTGGCCTGCGTTCTGGATTGTTTCCTCAGGTCTACCTAGAGCACTGGTTTCCAGTTTGTTGTCTCTAATCTGCAGGTTGGTTACAGATGTTGGAGTTTTAATTTTTTTTGATAATTTTTTTAATTTAATTTTTTATTCACTTATTTTAATTTGACCAGAGAGAGAGACAGAGAGAGACGGAAAGTGAGAAAGCAAGAGAGAGAGAGACAGAGAGACAGAAAGCGAGAAATCGCCCCCCAGGGAGGATGGCCATGGCGCAATCCCTTCTCCTCCATTCTCCTCTCGGGATCTTGGGCACACACGCACACGCGCCCGGCGTGAGTTTTAAACTACCGGGTCTGGGACTCAAATCGCGGTCGACTACATGGGAGTCCAGTGACATAGCCATTATGCTGACTGCTTGTCCCTCTTGTTTATATTGTCTAACTTCTCTTTTATTACTTTAGACACATTGAACAGACCTCTTACACTTGGTGTCTGAAAATTCTGGGTGGAATCTTTTTGGTTCTCACGATTATCTTCTCCTTCCTCTCTTGCTCTCATTTAGTATGGTGTATTTTCATTTTATAATTGTGAGTTCTTTATTTTTCATGCAGCTTTTATAACTTGAAACCATTTATTTTTATCTAGATTGAAGGTATGTACATTCCTGCCTAAGGGGCTGACTTTGGCTTCTGTTCACTGCCGGGGGTGCAAATCTAGACTACATTAAATTAAATGGTCTGTTTTCGGTTTTTTAGACGAGATTGTCGGTATTGTGAATTCCGACTGCATGCTGTGTGAGGGTCGACCAGGGTTTTTAGGGGAGCTTTTTCTTGTCCAGGACTTAGCACCGGAGTCGAGACGGGCACGTTTTCTTCCTGTTCCTCTCGTGTGTTTGTTTCTCGTTCACAGCTATGCTGTGTGTGCAGCTTTTTATCTGGTAGCTCCTGTTGGACTCTCTTTCCTTTATTCATGACAGCCGTGCATGCCTATGTGAGGGGGGGGGCGGAGGAAGACGGCACCACCCACAGGCCTGCTCACGCTGCGGTCCCCGGTCCCCAGCCCGTCCCTGGTTTGTGGCCCTGTGTGTTTCAGGCTGACTAGGTTGGGACTTTGAATCCTGGTCGCCATCCGTAGGACTGGCTTCTCGAGCACAGCACCGCAGACCTGGCTGGACTCTCCGTCTTGAGCAGGACCTATTCTCTGATCGCCCATGTCCCTTGCAGCTGGAGATGTAGAAATTCAAAGATACAAGTTTTAACAGAAATCATCAGGAGAGACGCTGGCTTTGGTGTGCTCATTTATTCTGTGAAAATCTTTGTGGCACTTCAATTTGGCCTTCTTTGGATCATTATTTGCTAGGCATTTGAAAAGATTTTGTTTAAGATATCTAGTCTGCCATGTAGTATTGAAGACTCTTGAGACCTGCAGTTGGCGTAATGGCTATGTCGCTGGACTCTCATGTAGTTGGCTGCGGTTTGAGTCCCAGATGGGGGATGGCCGCACTGCAGTCTTTTTTCCTTCATTTTCCTCTCCGGATTTTGGGCATGCATGCACAGGCACTCAGCATGAGTTTTGAGACTCGAATCCCATTGACTATGTGGGAATCCAGCGACGTAACCATTACGCCATCTGCTGGTCCCTGTCGAGCACTTACATGGCTGCAAATGAGATCGACTTTGAGTTTATGTTCTTTTTATTATTAACGTGGAAAATGAAACAAATATTATAGGTATTTTTTTAAGGAGGTTTTTTTTGTCTGGGGCATGTGCACTCGCCAGGGGAAGAGAGAGAGAGAGAGAGAGAGAGAGAAGGTGAGAAATTACCCCTTGGGGAGATGGCCATGCTGCAGAGAGATGGGGCTTGTGGGGGTGGGAGGGTAGTGAGAAAACGTCTGCCGGGGAGATGACCACACTACAGTCCCTTCTCCATTCTTCTCTAGGGATTTTAGGTACTCATGCAAATATTCCTGGAATGCTTTTCAAGCCGCCTGGTCTGGGACTTGAACCGTGTAGTTGGCCATTTGGGATCCAGCTGCCTTAACCACCATGCCACCTAGTTGGCCCAGTATGTATTGTTATAGGGGAAATTTAGTGTGCTGCAGAAACCCATGGGACAGAATCTGAGTTTCAAGTGGTTAGGAAGGATTTCTGTAAGAAAATGACATCCACTTAGGCATATGAAAGAAAAGTAGGTGTTGGTGTGGTGAGTGGTGAAGGAGGTAAGATTGCCTGGGCTGTAGAGGACATGGGGGTGGGGTGGGTAGTGTTGACAGTCCAGGAGGACTCAGGTAAACAGTTGTCAAGGTAGGCTGCTCTTTAGGTGTTTGGACCTTATAGGCAGTGAGAAGCTACTGAAATACTTTTTAAAGTAATTATTTACTTTTATTTATTGATTCATTTACTTTAATTTGACCAGAGAGAGACACAGAGAGAGGGAGGGAAAGTGAGAAAGCAAGCCACCAGGTCCGGGACTTGAACCATGGTCACCCATGTGGGAGTGTCCAGCGCCTTAACCACCAAACCACCTGCTGGACCCCTGAAATACTTTTTTTTTTTTTTTTTTGAGAGATTTTTTTACTGTGGGGACCCTGT